CAAAAAAGCACATTTTGTGCATATTTCAAATTACAGTGTCCAAAAAAAATATACTAACACAATTTTTAAATTCATCCAATAAGCTTTCCGAAAATATATAGATTTGTACAGTTTGTGTGTGGCTTGTGTACAGTTTGTGTGTGGTTTGTGTATGATGTGTACAGTTTGTGTGTGGTTTGTTTATGATTTGTGTGTAGTTTGTGTATGATATGTACAGTTTGTGTGTAGTTTGTGTACAGTTTGTGTGTGGTTTGTGTACAGTGTGCGTGTGGTTTGTGTATGATGTGTACAGTTTGTGTGTGGTTTGTGTATGATGTGTACAGTTTGTGTGTGGTGTTTAGAATTTGCACCTTCTTTATCATTTCATAATACTATGTCATTCTGTTTTCTATCTAATAGGGATTTCAACATGAAGCTTTAAACAGACCAGATTATTTTATGGAATTGAGTGAATACTCCTCGTCTTAAAAAATATGTAAATATCTTTAGTGAAGAACGAAAAATAATTTTTTTATTAAGATGTTTAAGGAAAAAAATACCAAAATATCAATTGCTTGCACAAGATTAGTACTTTTATTACAGAGCATTACATTATGTGAATGTAATGAATGATGGGGTATTTTTTTCTCCATTATTTAAAAAAATGAGTTTTAAAAGTTTTAAGAAATGTAATGCAATTTTTCTTTAACATTGTGCTTTATGGTATTATTGTAGAAGTAGATTTTTTTGAAAAATATTAGGACGAATTTCTCAAAAATATTGTTTTTTATTTGGTTATACATTAGGCTGTTTCTTTTGTGAGTTCTAAAGACAGAAGTGCTACATTAATCATCAGGTCACATGTAAAAATAAACCATATATTCAAATTTAAGTGGATAATATAGCCTTGATGCCATGAGTGTCAACTTGATCGCCAGTAAGTTCTATCAACTGATATTTATTTATTCACATGGTTTATTCCTTATGCGCAAACACATAGAAATTGATAGGTGCCATTCATGGTGATTTTAATGAGTTCAACATTCTTGTTGCTCCAAAAGAAGTGAACAGTAACATTGTAACTGGAAAATCAGGAAGCTACACTTATGAAATATGTGGTATATTAGATTTTGGTGATGTCCAATATAATTATTACGTCTTTGATGCTGCCATTGCAATCATGTACACAATGTTACAGAGCCAGGATCCTATCACTGCTGGTGGTCACGTGCTTGCTGGATACCTGTCAACATTTCCTTTATCTGAGCTTGAGTTGGATGTAATATATTATTGTATAGGTGCTCGGATTTGTCAGTCGCTGATTTTAGGAATGTACACATACACTCTCCATCCAACTAATACATATTTACTAGACACCCAAGAAACTGGTTGGAAAGTATTGGAATTATTGTATTCTACTTCAAAAGAAGAAGTTGATAAATCATGGAACACAATTGTTTCTTGTAGCTGTTAATTCAAGATGAGTAAAATGCTATTTTGTCCATTGTACCAGTAATCTAACAATTCATGATATCGACGTGGAAAGTCAAATCTATGTAACTATATAACATACCTGACAAGTACTTCATAATGAACATGTACTCTAGAAACTGGTTGTCCTATTTTGTTGTTTATTTCTGACAATATAAGCAAATAAAAAGCTTATGTAATACGTTGATGTTGGCTATCCTAAGTAATTAATTCCCACAATAAACAAAACTGTACAACATAACATCCAAGATTCGAATTCTATTTTAGATTTTTTATAACATGTGTGTTCTTTAACATATGCAATTGCCAGTTTTTTTTAGGTATGTTGTCATTGAAAATGGATGATTGACCATCACCAGCGGCAGTGTCCTGCATCAATTTGGTTTACAATGAATGAGATTTAATCATTTCGGGACGACATCTTCAATTCTCTATTTTTAATGACTATTTTTGAAATCTGTGGTCATTTTTTTTTATTTTTACTTCTTCTTGAGAAGTTGTGATTAGTTGTGTAACATTGGGGAAACACTCAACACAATCCAACACTAATTCACAGACATATCCTACAACCCAACATTGGCCTTGTATTGGGATGCTTTGTCAATGCAATTGTGTCTAAAATATTTAGGTAAGATTTGGTAATATTAATTATAATTCACAGACTTTCCTACAACCCAAGTTTTTGAATCTACTTCTTGGATACTATTAAATTGATAAGATCTAAACATAATAGAAACAGCAGATCTATTTCGACCGTCACGTCGCTTGTTTATATTAGTATTTTAATCGTCCTTGTGTATTATATAAAAATAGAGCATCATAAATAATTTATTTTTGTAATATTAAATTATATATTAAATTGAAAAATCTTATAAATAAAGGAGCAACGGCTAGTTCGTTTTCATTGGCCACGATCCTTATATTATATATATATTATTGTTATATCTGCACCAACATGTAATTATTTCTTTCACCATCACACAAAAAGAAAATCAAATTTCAGAATGATGAAAGCATTAATAGTTTTTTGACAATGAAGGTTTTAATTTTTTTGAAAAAACAACAACATAATTTGTGTAGAATCATTGATTTTACGCTATGGTTAATTAGAAATGCTTTAAAAAACGTCTCCGTTGTTTGCCATATTCATAAGATCATTTCTTCATATATCTTTCTAATATTGGCCAGAATTCTTTGACCTAAGTATTTTAACTACCTACAATGAAGTGAATTACAATTTCAAAAATATTGAAATTCGTGTCAAAAATGTGCCAGAAAAAGAAGATGCTGACGTGGTATGCTTATCTGGTTGGCTACGTACTGTAAGAGGTAACATTAAATCTCGCATTGCACACTCTTAATTTAAACAACTGATTGGAACATACTAGTAATATGCCGATTGTTATTATACATATAAAAGCTGAACAGTACATCACATGTAAATATAAGTTACATGCTCGATGCACTACAATGCATCATTGTAAAAATTGTCATGTTCCTGGCAGAGTTGGCACATAAATCTGACTCAAGAGACAAACAGGCCGCAATTTATAATATAAATGCCATGTTAGTTGAATAAACAGCTGTCGTATAATAACAATTCAGTGGAGAGAGTTATTTTAATTTAAATCTCAATGGAAATGACAGGATAGACGTCAGGTCATTTGATCACAGTGTAGTCTAATAGACTAAGTGCAAAATGTAGTGAGATATATATGAGATTTACTACTGTAGCATAATTTAAAAAAATGGAACTTGAATATTTCCGACTGTACTCAAAATATCTGCAATCAATTTTATTGCAGAAACTATCCACCCCATAGGAATAATAAGGTTGTACTTTTGATTCTACACTAAAATATGATACTATGTATACACAAAACCACTCGACCACGGCGTGTTTCGATGTTGGCGTCACATTTTTCAGACAGCAGTTCAAGTCGACAGTTTGTTCAGCAATTTTGTTTGTTTGTTTGTTTGTTTGTATGTTATTTCGCTCTTCCATTTATTTATTTATTTATTTATTTATTTATTTATTTATTTATTTATTTATTTATTTATTTATTTATTTATTTATTTATCTATCTACAGGATTCATTTATTTACAGGATTCATACAAACGATAAAATCTTAAATATACAAAATGGATAAAAACAAGAGAAAACCACAAATAACTGTAAAAAACAATAACAAAGGAATTTCAATTATTAAAATTATCACACTTTTCACTGATTTTTAACTAAAAATTTACTCCATTTTTTTATGAAATGCGTTCTTCCAAAAAAACAATGATTTATTTTTGTCCAGAAAGATTTCTTCTTGTTCTGCCTTTGCACATTTGATGTGTTTAGCTCGGGGGGGGGGGGCGTCAGCAACAACAAGGTCTTCCACTGACGAAACACTTTCTCTTTGATGATTATGAACTTTGAAATGTATACCTTTTTCTCTGTGAAATTCCAAACGCACATGCGTAAAAATGAGAAAAATGGCAAAAATCAATTAATATCATTTAAACAAAATGAATCACTTATGTAACTAAAAGCAGCTGTCACATTGATTGACATGTTTAAAATAATTTTATTATTAACCTTCACACCATGCTGTGTCATAAATCTATTCAGCTCAGAATTAGTCACAGATGAAACTATAATCGTATTCATTCATCACACACTATTGTTCCATACGCATTGCATGCTTTTTGACTGTTTGTTAAAACTCGTTTCTGATTGGCTAGCTAACACATAACCTTCTAAAATAATCGATACACACCTTGCTATGTTACGTGAAATAATGTTTCTGTCATTCCCCAATACTGCAGAATGCTGCTAACCAAGTAACGTTTCTCTTTGGTGACGTATGGTTTTCACAGGGGAACAGTGGGATGGATCTAATTAATAATCTCAGCAAAGGATTGGGCACTGGATTGCAGGAAAATCAATCGACAATTAAGAATATCGTGATTGCAATTAGTACCGTGGGTGGTGGCCAGGTATTTCACAACAAAGTGTTTGTCTGTCCGTGCACCAACAGAGTTATCTACGGATTGACGTACATGTTTGCTCCCGCCGTCATATTGCTGTGCCTTGGTGAGTAACAGTTTTTACAAACAATACTACTAATACGGCAAACCTGAAAAAAGACTTAAACAATTAAACATCCAATATTGAGAAACTAATAAATAACGTGTTGATGTGCAAGAGTATTACCAAAAAATGTTCGACTGTGATGTCTTATACTATAAAGGTATGGGACCAATGCTAATTAACAAAAGAATATACAATTAAGGTGTTCTGAAGATGAAGAATAAGCGGAATATTCGTTACTCGTCATCAAATAATGATGCCCCTGGGAGAATACAAGCACCGATTAGTTTAGATTGCGGTATTCAATCAAATAGATGGGGGTGTACACATTATCAAAATATTTTGTTTCAAAAGCGTCACATAATTATTTTTGAATGTTACACATGTCATTATATTCTCGAGTTTTTATCTGAGTATGAAATACTTGTTTGGAGATCACAAAATGAACAGTTTTGTAAGCCATTTTAAAGCAATATTTCATAAACATGAAATCACCATGATGGCAACCTTGTAACTACATGATTTTTTCAACAAATATAATCAAATGGTAAGTGGTTCAAAAAGCCTTATTTTTCACGGATATTTGTCCTTTGTTTTTTTGTTTTTTTTTGTTTTGTTTTCTGACAATACAATTTAACTAATCATTGTCCGTGGAACACAAATTTGATTGAAACAAGGTCGGTATTAAATCTCTCTATTAGGCCACACTGATTTGATTTTATGGATGACATCTTCTGAAGACCCCAAAACTAATGCGAGAGGGCGAAAAAAAAAAATCGGCCAAAAAAAATAAAATGCTGCTAAAACCACAGGATTACGGAGCTATTATTACGAATTTAACCACAGTGTATCAAAAAACAACAAATCTTTATTTGTAGGAGGCACATGTTGATGTACACATTTCGTACTGTATTACTGTCACAGGTATCATCACCTTTGATTTTGAAAAGGCAAGAGGATAAGGCAGATGTTAGCTTTGCCAAAGGCATACACATCAACTCAATAATAAAGAAAAACTTACTGTGTTGTATTGAAAAAAATAATTAATTAAAAATGAACAATAAGTTTGTCAACAGCAACCTGGAAATTAACTTCTTTGACATTCAAACTACAGCTTTTAAAGTGACACTTCAGATAGACTAAGTGTAGACACAAATGCTCTAGAACTACTTCAACTATGTAACAAATTATAAGAGGCTCGATATTGAAAAAAACACACACACCAACGTCACCCCGTAAGGGACTTCGGCCAAGGAGCTTCTGCTGCTTTCGTTGCAGTTTTGTCGACTTCAATGCGGACAAAGCAACCGAACTGATTTGTCGCCTGACCGACTTTTAGGCCACCATACACCTCCACTCTTCTCCCATTTCTCTCATCATTGCAGAAGAAACGCGGGACAGCCACTCTGGACAATATGTTCTCAAAGTTGTCTGGGCAAAACACGCTTGCCGCTACCGACCTCTCGTATAGCTGTGTAAACGTCTCCCTGGCCAAGTCAATTGCGTACCAGTCTACAACAATCCCTCCGTTTTACCCCTCAACTTGTATGCTCACGTATTTTGGTGGTGTGGTCGCCATGTTGGATCATTTATGGCAAAATTTGCATGTTTTGAGACAATCTCTTTCCCATAGGTCTTTGCGCTTTACGTAACGCCCATCTAACTGTGCGGAGTTTGGTTTTGGAGTAGTCCAAAACGAGTTTTACGACAAGTCGGCGCTTTGCGACAATATGAGTCGGCAAGTTCTGGACAGAAAACCGATCTGTGGAGACTCGTCGTCGGAGATTTTTTTTTTTTTTTTTTTTGAGAACAGGCGAAAACTAATGCGCGCGCGGATGTCATCCATAACATTAAATTGGTGTAGCCTTACTATTATTCACAGAACACATTACACGCACGTGTGTCGTACAACCATACGCAAGCCAAAGTTTGACCAATTGTGATTAGTTGGCAAATTGAAAAAAAAAGACGCAACAGATTAAAATCATTACTTGAATGTATTAGTCCACTAGAATGAAATGGAATATACAAAATACACACAGGCAATGGTTACACATTGACGTCATACTATGATGACGTGTTCCTATTATTTATGTATTAATAACTAATGAATTATTCCAACCATTGCATGCATGTTCAACATACGAGGGCGGGCTTAACTTTCTGTCATAATCGAGTTCCTTCAATAAATATGATAAAATATTTTTGATTGGTCAAATAACCGAGTTGGATACGATGTGTGATTCGTCAATTAATCAATTGAGATGAAGACTCCGGTGTAAGATTTATTATTTACAACTCACCATCTAGTTAGATTATTAACAAGTAAATATTCACATAAATAGTTCTGAGGATATTATTAAACAATTAATGAATATGGACATTTTAATACGCCCCTTGTTATCACAGGTGTTCTGATAAACAATACGACCTGGAGACTAGTCACCGGATGTTGCCGAATTCACTCCGTGAAAGACAAATGGCAAAAAGGCCGCCGTGTGGGTCAAATTGTTGTAAAAGCTTGCCTGGCACCATCTGCGTGGATATTTATCTCATTATTAAAAGGAGAGTAAGTTTATTTTCTCAACTATTTAAAATATGTTAGTTTATTGGTCAATGTGGGAATGTCGTTATCAATGCATCTTGTTGATAATTTAAATAACCATCTACTGTGTATATTAAATACGTTAGGTTGATATCTTTCAATAAAGGTTCTACGGATGCGGTCAATCCACTGTACCCTGTCAGAATGCAAATGATAAAGTAGTTGTGTCCAATGAAGATAAAGCTATCTCTCAAATGTTTGGATGGATACTCGCCGTAGTGGGCGTTTTAATAATAATACTCACTTACTGTCTTAGTCGAAGTTTTGGTCGATTCACCTATGCACAAAGACAATATGCAATGTTTTATAGTGCGGCGGAAAAGCAACTGTTTGAAATAAAAGCAAAGGTAAATAATAGTTTGTCTTGTCTCTTGATTCAATGAAATGTGAAAATTCTATAGTATTATTCAATATTATTATGCATCTGTCATCGTAACGCCATAAGTTACAGCGTGCCGTAATTTTGCGGTATTGCACTGGGTATTTTCATCCTACCATATAAGGAAATGTGAATTCCAAATTTGGAATGATTACGCGCTTAAGCGTCCTCTAATAATAAAAACAAACATGGCTGCCACCAGGGTTTGACCGGACTCCACACAAAGAAGTTCGCTGATTTTGTTCTAAACATTTTGGATTTCGGAAGGAAGGAAAAGATGTACAATAATAAGGCTATTACGAGGATATCTCAAAGTATGCGCTCAGACAGTACACCGTCGCATCGACCACCGCTGCGAGTCGGTCGATACTCCAGCTGTACTTTCTACGTACATACTTTGAAGTGTCTTTTTAATAACCTCATAGTATCCTCAGTATGTGTACAAAATCACAAAAGTGGTTAGAGGTTAAGGCGCCACAGTCGCGCAACCTTCGTTCGAATTTCGTGTAAATAATAAGCAAGGTATCAAACCTATTATTTTTTACAGGAGCTTGCAAAGAAAGAAGCCGACATAAATACTGAGAAATTTTTTGATCAACAAGTCATTGCTCCAGCCCCCCTGCTGACCAATGATGAATGGCGGGATATGCAGAATGCCTGGGATACCGTCACTGTTATTGGTTCATGCCGTGGTGGAGGACGAGGCTACACTCCCCTCTATCACTGGGCGAAATTTGGTTCTGACGGCGAGTGCGTTGAGCCGGCAAGCACGCTATCGTCAACGTCGTTGAAAGGTGAAACAGTCGAATTATTAAAATCGGAATGTCACAATGTGCCCGTTTACGATTCTACCAAGCGTTAGTAGTTAGACGAGGGACATTCTAGTCATCTGTCCACTCATAATTTAAATGCCACACCAAACAATGCGAGTATGTTTTGTGGGTATTTACCATGAATCAATATTTTATGATATACATTATTTTGATTTCGCCGATAAACAAGCGCTCTGTGTAAACATACAATTAGTGTCTCATAAACGCACTTATTTCGGAGATATAATTTTGTTTTGTGAAATGCATTGTCAAGTTTCAACTATGTGAAAGCCGAAATTGCACTACTAAATTTAGTTCCAAAAGCAGTCAATAAAATTTGGACATAGTTGCATTATACTTCAGCAGATTTTGCATAGAAAGGAAAGCAGAAGGCAATTGTTTAAACTGATCATTTCCTCAAATTATCACATCCCACACTGTCACTCGATAAGAGAATTGAATATCTTTTTAATTCACCGTACATTGTTTATTAATACAGAGCGTAATCATGGTAATATAACTATGACATACATACACAAACAACTTAAAGACAGGAAGGTACTTACCATATATAATTGACTACAATCTTACACAATATGCTATCAAATATGTTGCCGCCCTGCGGACCATAATTTGGAAATTGTTTGAATTGATATTCCATTAGCAGTTCATTTGACAAATACTATATGCCATCTTATGAGTCCGTGATATGTAATGTTGTGAGTATTCGTCGTTAAACCCTTCTGCCATCTTTGTGCTAATTAAAAGTAACCAGCGACCCTTACCATAGAACATTGTAATAACTGAATTCATATCATTGAACAAGGATATTTTATCCGGCTGGACTACGATTACCTCCTACCATTGTTTATCTAGTGAAATATCTGCATGATCATTTCTTTGTACATACAATCGTAGTGTAACAATGTAATATACTAATATACTTTCAAATCGAAAACAACTGTTTTTAGTGTTGGTATTTTGAGCTCCGCCTGCCATTCTGTGTGTCTGATTTGTACATAATTTAGAAACATGGCTATTGGTCGATCCATAATTGGGAATTCTGATATGTATTGGCATGTACGAACACTCACTAGGATGCAACGCAATCTCACCAGTCATACACAATCCTAAATTTACATTAATAATAATAAAGTAAGATCCTCCGCAAGATGTGTTTTCTATAATCACGTTCAGAAACTGTTTTTTGTATGCAGTAAGTATGTCGCCGCATTCATAAACCCCTCCTGAAAAAGCCAATGGCATGTCTAGCTTATATTGAATATCTAAGCTATATAAGCCAGATCTTTATCAGATTCATCTAAGTTCTTAATCAATTTTTTTTTCGAGATTTTTAACATTTGTTTTTTTACCATCAAAATGGGCTTCAAATGACATTTCTCCAGTATTTATTCAGAGTATAGCCGTAACCACTTTGAATCTTTGGTCCTTTCCAGCATGACTGTCCCAAAGCTGTGGGTTCCTGTGAACACACAAATGTTACGATCTATATTTTTTTCAATTTGACTTGTCTATTTTAATTTGGCTTACTGAATAGAATTACATTACACTTGTTTGTACATCTTTGAAATTTTATTACCGGGCAAGCTGTGACTTTATTACCAGGCAAGCTGTGACCTTATTACCGGGCAAGCTGTGACCTGTATTCGCACTCCATAGAAACACAGGGAAAGTGTTAACTAATTTTGTATGTGAAGACACGTCTGATTGCTGATATACAGGCAACACCCGGTTGCTAAGCAGTCAGAAACCTGCGTGATTGCCAAGTGCCAACACCCCGAGTTTGTGATTCCCCGTAGTGACTTTAGTAGAAACTAACTAGTTTGGTGAGATTATCTACTAACAATCTTTGAGTAACTTCCAAGTCTTGGCGTGTTTCATGTCTCTATGCATAAGTCTATTTGAATGGGTGTACATCAACGATCACTGTACCTCTGCTGATATGTGAGTGTCCCCGACTCGAAGAATCTCACTTCCGATATCCTGACCACACCCCGAACAATATACATCCGACTCTACACTTTTACATTTGTGAAACGACGGTTGAAAACACATTTACTCTAAAGCATGGTATGCTTCAGAATTTGTCTTGAATTTATCTTGGCTGAGTCCCAGGGCTTTTTATGTCTTTTTCGAACGAATGTCTTACCTGCGAGTCGGAGTGAAGACAACGCCACGCTTGTGATGGAGTAACTTGTGATGTGGTTTGACCAATATAAAGATTGAAAGACAAAAATGTCGAACAAATTGCAAATTATTTTCTTCAATTTTGAGATATTTTTTTCCAGGATAATGTTGCTGCAATGTTGTCTTTCACTCTTAGTCTAAGATAATAGACTATTAAATGTGTATGTTATTTTTCTAAATATTATGAAACTTTCTATGTATTTTTTTTAAAAATCTACCTATTTTAATGGACAAACCTCCGAGCGTATCGTACGCGATTGCCGAACATCAAAATGCTGAAAATGGTAAAGGATGTCACGCGATACGTTATGTCGATTATTTGTGGTATCTAGCTGGTGGTCGTCACTCGTCCCGCTGTTTACTGGTTGGCCAAATGCGTCCATGCATCAAAATGATTTTAACACTATTTATTTATATGTGAAAATGGACAAAATAGAGAGGACCCAGGTCTACGTCGATAAAACCCAGAACACTCAAAGGGGTGTGTAATATCGATTATTCCCGATCATTATGCGATGGCCGCGTTTGGTCACGGATAAAATTCGCCCTGCAAGCAATCAGCGGCTGCTGAAATACGAGAGAATGAAAATTTCAGATCTCGAGCATAAGGTTGTGCTGATCTATCACCAAGTATTGCTCTCGGTAAACAAAATGCATAACAAACCATTCATATGTCAGAAGACTTAAGTTGATATTTCCATTTTGAAACTTGAGGTGTTAGTGTAAACTGTAAATGTGTGAAGGTTATATAGGATTTATTTTTTCTTTCGAAATTATGTCGATAACTCTGGGCGCAAAGATGAAACGACAGGTTAACCAATCACTGTACATCTTTTGAATAAAGGTCATTAATATTCCGACAATCCTACAATTACGCTGGCAGATTTTGTAAATTCTGGGAAGATATGTAATAATACAATGACTCGCGAAAATCCAACCACGGAATATACCTCATCACGAGTGAAATTTACTTCTATACTGCAAAAACTAAACAATGTAAACCAAATGTCACAATTACACTTATGGTCAAGCAGCTGAAATACGACAAACTCGTCACGCAGTTCGCGAGACAAGACCACACAGCTGATCAAAGTAAAGCGAATAATGTTAAACGTTGTAGCATTTATTATCAACACCATCAATTCGTGAGTTGTATGGTATTCCTATATTTAACATAAACAACTTGAGTGTGCGACTGACTGACACGTGGCATGTTTTGGTCTTGATTCTACAGATCTCTACAGATGGTCTGGGGTGAAAACAAATAGGTAACCGTACCTTAAAAATTCACAAAACATCGAAATAAATGGATAGCCAGCATTCACACAAATGAACAGAAATATTACGAGAAGCAAATCCGGTTAGGGGAAGTGACATAGTGACCGTGGAAGTTTGTGACGTCACAAATAACACAATAATACCCATTATTATTAATGTAGACATCTTGAGTGTGTGGTGACATATTTACGTAACTGTAGCCACATTGCATCACACATATTGGATAGATACTGTCAACGTCATCCAACATATATGTTCATTTATTAGATATGGCCCAAAGCGTGCCCACTATGCGCATTCACATAGCGTTTACAACCGGTTATTAGTCCATGCAGTAATGCGAGATGTTTATTGGTATTTATCGTATTGGTATTTCAACGGAATGACATACAAAATCCTTCACATATGGCCGGTGTTCTAGAGTTATGGATATAAGTTACAGTTTATGGAAGAATGAAATTAAAGCGCTGTTTATTGGGATCATTCTTACGAGATTGGTAACACAATTTCAGACTGCGTTGGCTTGTGTCGCGGTTACTTCTTGTCCAGAGAATTATCTTAAAATACCAGGGAAACCATTGAAAGGTGAGTTAAAGATGTATTAGAGTAGAGAGTTGATTTCCCAAGTGTTATCATATGAGAACAATAACGAGATACTAGTATAATTCAGTTGCATTGCACAAGGTTTCTCTAGAATATGTTCTGTTAACGTATTATTATTCCTTACTACCTCAGTGACGACACAAACTCTAATGAAAGACAAACAGAGAAAGACTACACCACTGATTCAAGGGATTGCATGCTAGTGTTTATGTGGTTCACACCACGACACTATTCTTTGAATTTTTGAATCCAACTTCAAACCAATAAGGGGTTGACCACTATAAATTTAGGAGAAGATGACAAATTTGCAAAATAAAAACATTTTTTACAGAGCAAATTTCGAAAATAAAAATTTGACAAAGAAAAACTGTGCATTATTTATAAAATACACACACAATCTCACCTCCCATATTTACTCTACTTATCATAATAAACATATTTGGTTCTCATAAAAAGTGGTCAGCTCATAATGTCAAAGGCAATTTTTTCTGTAAATCGCACATATTTGTTTTGAAAAAAACAAACAATTCCACTGGTTCGTGGTGGGGGTAAGGATGACTTATGATCTAGACAACATGACCGTTTAGAAAGGTTAAACAATTAATAATTGCGTGAGGTCTCATCTTCCATTATTTACCCCACTATGCATGATTCGTAATGCTAATTTTGTAGTTGTATATGTATTCAAAAAATCAACAGTGTCATTTCACGGAAATGTATTCAACGTACTAACTGTTTAAGTTTTAATATACTTAAAAGCTAATTTGCATATTCAATATGACCAAATATTGTAGAATTTTTCCCTTGGTGGTTACATGACACGCAGTCTTTGCAATATTTAAACGGTAGGAAAAACAAAATGTGAAATAAATAATTAAACTGCGCATGCAACTACAGCTTGTAAAAACAACAATTAACAAAATTACCACACAGTTTATTCAAAAAATTCTTCGATATTTCGTTTATTTTCAGAAATAGTGATGGATCAACTCAAGTATATCAGCAAAAAAATGGGTAACATTGTGACGGAAAATAATACAACTCTTACAAATATTCTGATCGCATTAACCACTGTGGGCAGCGAAGAGATCTTTCAAGTTACGGTGTTTTCCTGTCCATGCACCAACAGATCTCTCTATGGATTTATGTTCATTTTCTCTCCTGCATTTTTCTTATTATGTCTCGGTGAGTATGTACACTCGTTAGTTTTTTTTCCCACTAGGAATTAAACACAGACTGCATTGTCACTGATGTGCAAGAATGTTACCGATTCCCTTGACAATATACACAGGAATGTATACGCTGAATAAAAATGTTCCAAACGTACTCAGAAAAATGAAGCGTTTCTAATAAATACAAGTTTCTTTCTGAAATGAGCACCCGGGTAATCAAACAACCGCCAAAAATATGTGGGAAGTAGATTTCCACAAAATAAAACACAGACTGCATTGTCACTGATGTGCGAGAAATCACGCGCGCAATGGTCCAAACATGATGATGACATTTTGTTGACAGAGACGGCATTTTCTGCTATTGTATTTGGCATTGTAGTCTTGAATTATATCACATTTTGGTCTCAATCCATGACACAAACACGTGATAACGAGCATGTAACAAGGGATATAATCTTTCTTAACATTCCTCATCTATGAATGTTTTCGATCTGTAACGTCCAATCTGGACCAAGATAATAATTTACATTCTTATTATTCATTTAAATTTGCATACCGGTGTGGTATTATAATAAATCGTATTTTTCAAATCATTGTGTATTTTTTTAAAGAAAGATAACGATTAGTTTGTAATTAATAAATCAATCAATAATAATAAATCATATATTAAGTAAATTGAAATACGGTAAA